GTTTGGGTGCAGAAAACGGCTATTACCTAAATGCAAAATGGTTTCATGCATTTCAGTCAATTGTATATTGTCGGTCCCAGTGGCCGAGCTTAAAAAAAAATCGGTAGTGTTTTGCATCTTTTACGCCCTAAGAAACTAAACCATCTATCGAAGTGGGCGGGCTTATTTGAATGGGAGGGCGCATTATGCACGAATCGTGTGCTTTCGTTTATTTTGGACTGTATTTTACCACATCCACTGCTGGTATCACTATTAATATTATCTAATGCCGTGAATACGACAGCAGTTCATTTATAAGATTGGGCCAATGGAGTCGCGCCCCGCGAGCTCGGTTTTCCGCTGGGCCGCTACAGGCCAGGAAGTCGGTCTTCGCCTGAGGGCAGGAGGGAGCGCGGGGTCAGCCAGGTATCGCCAAGTGCCGAGCGAAAGCCGCTCCCTTCCCTCTCTTCCCCTCTTCTCCCCTCCCCACCTCGGTATAGATGGGGAGGGACCGAACTGCCAATGACATGCGAGCGGTCAAGGCCGCTCGCGCGGCAGCGACCCTGGCGGCCGGGTGCCGCAATTGGGATTCAGCCAAGTTACCGATTCGCCTCCTGTGGGAGAGCCAAACCAGGGGACATACTTTTTAGATATACTGTACAACATCAAAGCACTTTGATAGATCTAAAAGGCACAGAAGGGTGATCTCTTTCCGGTCCATGGCCTCAAACACTCTGTCAGTTACAGTGAGTAACGCTGTGTCGGTCGAGTGGTTCAATCTAAAACCGTGTTGACTAGAGGAGAAAAGGTGATGGGTTGTAAAGTACGTAAAAAGCTGTTCATAAACGACACGTTCGGTTATTTTGGCGATGGTTGGTAGGATTGATATGGGACGGAAATTGGATAGGTCAGTGGATTTGGGCGACTTCTGGATAGGATGGACTAGGGCTAGTTTCCATGATGTTGGGACGGTGTGGGAGTTGATGCTGGTGTTGACAATGTGGGTGATGACAGGACAGATGGAGTCGAAACACTGCTTGATGAACCGCACACACAGTCCGTCCGCCCCGCACGACGTGCTGCTCGCCATCCGGCCGATAACGCGCCGCAGCTGCTCCGGTGTAACAGGCGCTACCTGGAACCGGCCGGTGCTGACACGGGGCAGGCGCGCTGCCAGCCGCGGGCCACCAGAGTCCACCTGTCGGGCGGTGGAGGTACCGACACTGGCGAAGTATTGGTTTATCGCGTCCACGTCCGCGTGCGGTAGTGGTCGGGTCGGCCGTTTTCCCGATATAACCGGCCGCACATTGCGCCACATGGAGCTCGGTCCGCCCTCACTTATACGCCGGCCGATCTCCTCGCGCGTGTCACGGCGGACAGCCGACCTGACCTGTCGGTTTAAGTCCTTATAACGATCCCGGTCACCGGCCCGGAGCGCCGCGCGCCGCTGTGACATCAGACCTTTTGTGTTCTCTGTCACCGGGGGCGCCGTCGGATTGCGCACTTTGACCCTCCGAATGGGGGCTAGGCTGTTCACAATGGGCACCGTCACGGTCGTAAAATAGTCCCACTGCTCACCGGGGTCGGCAGTGTGGAACACAGGGCTCCAGTCCACGTCACTGAGGCGGCGGTTCGCCTCCGCCGTGTCCAGTCTGCGCCAGCACCGCCCCGTCACCGCACACTGGGCCGGGCGGCGGCCGGGGACCAGTACCAGAGCACGAGTCCAGTTGTGGGGACTGAAGTGGCAGTGCAGCGTGCCGGCTCGCTCTACACCCCGATTCGTGGCAATCACATCGATGGTGGAGCCTGATGACCTGAATGTAGCGTCTTTGATGTGCTGCTGAATGGTGTAAGCGGCAAACAGCTCCTGAAGTCTTGTAGCCGTGCTGCTGCTGGTGTCTCTGGTATTGATGTTTATGTCGCCGGCGATGATGATGGGTCCGCTATGACGGGTGACGTTGTGCTGTAGCTGCCGCTCCAGCTCATCGAGGTCTGCAGTGACACGGGCCTGCGTTTGAACGGGCGGCCGATACAGGGAGCAGATCACCACCTTCAGCAGGCCCGCGCCGACCTGGACCCACAGCGACTCCAGTTTGGAGCCGGCCGTGACCTGATCAGGTCCGTCCAGCACGACCGCAGCAATCGCCTCCTTAACCAGGACGGCGACGCCGCCGTAGCCCCTGCCGTCGGCTCTGTCCCTCCGCAGAAGCTGGTAGCCCGGCACAGGAATCAGTCTGTTGGGTGTCGATGGCTTCAGCCACGTCTCGCACATCGCCACTACGTCGTAGCCGTGTTGGTCGATGTCGTGTCGTAGTTCGAGAAGTTTTGGCTTAATTGATTGTACATTAAGCTGGGCGATGTAGAGCTGCCCGGCGTGTTCCCTGGTCCTCCAGATTCGTCCGCCCCTGGAGCCCCGCCGCCGACTGCGCACTCCTCGCCGGGTGAGCCTGGGCGCGCCCCTGTGCGCGCTCCCACCGGCCGGCGGCGACCTGTCATGGTCAGCGGCGGCCACGGGCGGCACCCCCGGCAGCGTGGGAGTGGGAAATTCCACCGCCGCAGGGCGAGGCCGGGGCGGTCGTGCGGCGGCCACTCGCTCGGTCAGCCGGTCCAACTCCGCCGCTCTGCACCCTCTACCCACGCTCTCAGCTGGCGTCAAGCGCACCGGGGCAGGGGCCGGGACCGCAGCCAGGACCAGCAGGCGAACCACCGCCAGCACAGTGAGACAGCGCAGCAGATCCTCGTGCATTCTGCTTGCGGTGACGAATAACAAATTGTCCTGGGAATCCACACCGTCACAGCGACGACCCAAGGCCCACAACGTGTCCGTCGAGCGGCCGGTGAGAGAAGTTAAGCTCCGATCGAAGTGTAAAGTTCAGTCAGCTTTGCTGGCCGCTGGGACGGCCGAGTTGTTATGGTCAATTATACCGTAAATGACATAAAGTTCATGACCAACTTTGACTACCTTGATGCCTTATTTCCTATTGGACAGCTGTAAGGGCATGTGACGTCATTAACCCTCGCCCGCACATGGGGGTGGTTGCCACCCCCCCCAGGTAGTTTTTCTGCTCTGCACTCCACATTTTTAAAGCTAGAAGCCTGATTTTTCGTATAGCTGCTCCTCTACCCTTTCTCGATGTCCACTGAAAATTTCAAGTTTCTGTGATTATTGGTTTCGGAGATATGACCATGTTATTCAGGTCATGTCATGACCCAAATGACCAATTCTCAACATCTTGCGTTGGCTATGGGCCTTGTGAGCTTCTGACACCTTGATTTCGGCCTTTTTTGCCAGTCTCACCTCCCACCTGTCATGGAACATGTTGTTCGACGATGTAAAGATGTCAAGGTCAAGGTCAAGGTCAACCTAGGTCATCTAAAATAATTGCGTTTTAGGCAAGCTGCATTTACTTTTCATGATTTTTTTTTACTGCATTTTTGGTAAAAGCTCAGATCATGATTTCATGTAATATGGACACATAAACAATCGGTGCACAAATCAGTATGCACACAGACACACACAGACATACAAACACATATCATTGACTAGAGATGTCAATCGGATACCAACTTTTTGGTATACCGATACCAAACCGATACCAACTTGATATTTGGTATTTCAATCGTAATGCGTTTGGTATTTTGTTGGTATCATAAGCCCTCACTAATGTATAAGAGGCTAAAAAATCGGTAAAAAGTTGGTATTTCCCTCAGTTTCCCAAGTGGGTTTGGTTTCGGTATTTTCCCGTGGTTTTGGTTGGTATTTGGTTTGGTATCGGTATTCCGATTTTCCGTAATTGACATCACTATCATTGACCTTGACCTAAATTGACCTGAAATGACCTCAGCAGCAAAAACCTGGTCGGGTAGTGTGACCAAGAGCTTCTAGCTGGCTTGGCACCAGAAAACGCCATTGTCATCGGTATATGATAAGCAGCGCACTTGATATCCAACGGTGACCCAAAACAGCAACATTTTTTAGTTTGACCTGACCTGGAAGGTCAATGACTGACCTAAGAAGGTAAAACTGGGTATCATTGGATTCGTCTCTTCCCAAAAAATCTTTTTGGTCTTTACCGCGAAGCTCTATCTCCAACAGGAACGAAATGGCGCGGGGGTTGGCAAACCCCCCCCCCTCCCATGTGCGTTCTAGGATGGGAAAATGGCATGTGCGGGCAAGGGTTAAAGATAACCAAACGGTTTTTTTTTTGCTAATAAATCCTAACAGGAAAAAGATACAGCCGCGCAAATGGTCTCATTGTGTTCAGCTCATCAAGGCGCATCAAATGATATACATGATGACCTTGAAATCACGTGACTTTGAGGTCAAGCGACTTGAGGTAGCGTGACCTGAAGTCAACCTTTGACCTTGACCTCTCGAGGTCAACACACATACATATGTTTCGATGCGGACCGACGAGAGAATTACGATGCTACTTTTAGCTTTGACCTAGCTTGATTACTTCAAAAGGTATTCGTAAAAAAAAACTGTGATCGCATCTAGAGCCGCTATTTTGACTATTTTCGACCCCTGTGACCGCTGAGTCTTCCTCCGAAATGCGTCAAATGCGTCGTAGGACACACGCCATTGCTGAATGTGAAGCTGACTCGCCTATAACAAAAAATCCCGGCCTCAAACTAACACCGGCCAAATTGCACCACACCCCCGGCCAAATAACCCTGCTAGTGGGGCAATTTGGCCGCCTTGCAGAGCTTTGTAATACGTCACAATTACAATATAAGTAACTACTCTATCATTTCAAGTTCACTGTCCAGTAAAGTAAAATGAATGTGACACCTGTCAGCGTTGAGAAAATGCAGAAATGTGTCGTCAATTTTAGGTTACATCGTTTTCTAAAAAAGCGGCCAAATTACCCCAACCTCCCCTACATTACTGCCGTGTAAAAGTCCACCATATTTTAAATGTCCTGGAAAAACTGTGGGAACACGGACGGACGGTTAATGTTAATACAATAAAATACAATAAAACTACGGACTACAGTGGCAGTGGCTGTGGACCGTACCTCGGGAATGGCCGACGTCACCACGTACTGGTGGTGGATGGGCACCAGCGGTAGGTCTTCCCCTGCCATCTTGCCCACCTCCTTGGCCCAGAAACCTGCGGCAGGCGATACGGACGGAGACTCTGTCACTAAGTCCAACGGCGCAACATGGACGGAAAGTCTGTCACTAAGTCCAACGGCGCAACATGGACGGAGACTCTGTGACTGTCACTAAGTCCAACGGCGCAACATGGACGGAGACTCTGTCACAAAGTCCAACGGCGCAACATGGACGGAGACTCTGTCACAAAGTCCAACAGCACAACTTTCTACTTTACTTTACTTTCATCTACTTTACTTTCATTACCGCATCATCAGGAGAATAACAACTACGAACAAATTGTTACACATTATCCATGTATCACCTAATAACTTATGCACTTTCTGCAAACAAGAAACTGGGACGATTGAACATCTTTTCTGGCGCTGCGTCGTCACTAAACAATTCATAGAAAAGATCGACTGTAAACTCTTCCAAAAATTTCAAATACATTATAGACACCGCGTTGATGCGTGGTTTTTCCCTAGAGATTTAGACGAAATACAAATACTGATTATCACAGTAGTCGAGGCAGTTATATATAAAGCCAGAAATGATGGCGAAAGACCTAGCATAAGTCATTTCTGGAACTACGTAAGAAACGAAGCTCAGAAAGAGCGATTTTCATGCAGACTAAAAAAAAACAAAGAAGATGTATTTCAAAAGAAATGGAAAACTTTGAGCAAGATAGTCTGTTTATTTTTCTATTGTGTAGGGCACATAAGTTGTACTAAGGAGCGTCGGATGCTTTGTGGCGTGCACAGCAACATTCACATAGCACAATCTAGGAGCAACGCGGGTGACACCCGTGTGTTTTATACCTTGTGTAATGTGTACGTTCAAGCGTTTTGAAGTGTACGACTGTACTGAGTTTTGTTTGTCTTCGTGAAAATAAATTAGCGTGGACATGAAAAAGTCTAACAGCGCAACATGGTTGGAGACTCTGTCACTAAGTCCAACAGCGCAACATGGACGGAGACTCTGTCACTAAATCCAACAGCGCAACATGGACGGAGAGTCGGAGACTCTGTCACTAAGTCCAACAGCGCAACATGGACGGAGACTCTGTCACTAAGTCCAACGGCGCAACATGGACGGAGACTCTGTCACTAAGTCCAACAGCACGACATGGACGGAGACTCCGTCACTAAGTCCAACAGCGCAACATGGACGGAGACTCTGTCACTAAGTCCAACAGCGCAACATGGACGGAGACTCTGTCACTAAGTCCAACAGCGCAACATGGACGGAGACTCTGTCACTAAGTCCAACAGCGCAACATGGACGGAGACTCTGTCACTAAGTCCAACAGCGCAACATGGACGGAGACTGTCACTAAGTCCAACAGCGCAACATGGACGGAGAGTCTGTCACTAAGTCCAACAGCGCAACATGGACGGAGAGTCTGTCACTAAGTCCAACAGCGCAACATGGACGCCGAACGGAGACTCTTGTCACTAAGTCCAACAGCGCAACATGGGCGGAGACTGTCGGAGACCGGAAGCCGAGTCTGTGCATATCACTGCCTTCTGAAAATGTTTGTTTGCAATATGTTTAGCCCGCGCCCCGTTGAGGTCTGGTAAATGTTCAAATGGTTGCTAGATTCGAATTCAGCTCCAAAAACTAGCCAAAAAACATGTAAAACTCGAAAAAGTGAACCGAGGTCACCCGAGGTCACCAAAGGTCAATGACCTAACCTGACCTTCAGGTGACCTTGACATCCACCCCAATGTATGGGAGCAACATCAAATCCACATGTTTGAACGTTTGAAACCACGAAAAGCTTGCAAACGCGCGGCTAATGCGAGCCGACATACGCTGAATCGCGATTCCGGCCAAACATGGTCTCGGAAAAGAGGTCACAGGTCAAGGGCCATTTAAGTCAGGGTCATGAAATTTTCAGGGTAGGTGTAAAATTAATCAATGCGAGGGTACTGAAAGTTTCGTCGCGATCGGCCGCTTTTTACGCGAGCTATTTGCGAAAAAAAAAAAACCTTAGGGGGTGCATCATCCCCCCCCTGTGCCGGCGAGGGTTAACCGAGGGTTGTTGTCAATAGTTAAAACACTATTCGTTAGAATTGTTTTTTTTTCTATTGAAAAACAAATCCGAGTTCCCTGACAGTTTGGCAAAAGCTGCCTGAGATCAGTACATGTTGATGCCCGAGAAAACGGCTGTTCCAAAAATTCTGATTTTCTCAGGATTTCTAGTGGGTCAGGTGATCTAGATTCTGGTATGGGTCCTTACTCCGGGAACGATCTGGTGAACGTGCCACGTGACTTTGAAAATTTCCATGTTAAGCAAATGGGAAAAATGAAAAATGCGCTGAGCGGCAGATTGCTCGAAAACGATCCAAACGACCCCCTCCCCCAGTTTCTTCCATGCGGATCAACCACCATTCGGTGCACTACTCATGGGCATGTCGCAAAGTGGCCGGAAAAGTCCAGGACCACGTGCCACGTGCCGTTGAAAATGACCCTGTCATAGGTGTCGATTTGTATGCTTTTGTGGGTGCCTGGGCACCCACAATGCTGAGTTGGGCACCCCAACTCAGCATAAGGTGTTCTGGGCACCCATAACAAAAGTTGGTACTGGCATCACTGGGGCGGTTACTTGCACGCAGGGGAACCGCCCCAAGGGATGGAGGGAAGGGGTAAGGACGGGAGGAGAGAAAAGAGAGACAGAAAAGGAAAACCAGAGAGGGTAAAATGAGAAAGAGGGTAATGGGTAAATCAGTGAGAGGGAGCGAGAGAGGAAATTTTTAGCTGTGACTTGTGTCAGCTTGTTTCGCATGTATAAATTTGATTTCCATCATTCCAGCTTCGGATTGGAAATTAACCCTCGCCGGACCGATTGATTTTCTACATACGCGCCGGCCGAGGGGGGCGGGTACGACCCCCCTCGCTGTTTCGCCCCTGGTGGAGCTAGCGCGTCGCGGAAAAAAACGAGCGTGTGCGCCGTTACGAGACGCAGAGATTGGTACCCGATTTTAAAGGGACTATCCCACCTTTTAAAAAGTACCATTTAGGATTCGGAAATGTTACTCATGATATTGTGACGAATTCTGCAATTTTTAACGCGTTTTCATTGTATACTTTTTGAGATATTGCGACTTTTGTATTTCATCGTGACGTCATGTAGATAGGATCTGTGACGTAATGTAGGATTTACTTCATGTCAATGTGGGGGAAATTTTGCAGCAAATATAGGTATTTGGTCGACTAGGTATATAGGTATTTGGACTGGAAACGCGCGGATAATGTGAGCTGACATACGCCAAATCGCGAATCCGGCCGAACATGGTCACGAGAATCAGGTCACAGGTCAAAGGTCTTTTGGGTCAGGGTCATGAAATTTTCAGAGTAGGTGTAAAACTACACCCCCTACAAAAAACGACCCCCTACACAGCGAGGGTCAATGCTTCCAAATTAGGGATGTCGATCCCGGACCTTTTTTCCGATCCCGGGATTTCGGGATTTTCGGGGGAAAATCCCGGGATTTCCCGGGATCCCGGGATTGTTGTTTTCTCTAATATTCAACTGACCTAGCGTCTAGTTACGTTAAGTAAACGCTTTTACTCAATGTTGCAATCGAGTGATCACCCACGCATCCATATTTAGTTACGATATACGATATGATACGATACCAGTAAAACACCTGAAATTGCGTTCAGAAAAAGAATACACGTAATCAAACGACGTATGTACATGTATTACCACATGCCGAGATATCCCTTTAACATTAGCACGTGCATTTGGGAAATGGCTTCGGCCCGCCTCGGCTAATGTTGAAGGTATTTGGGAAACGATTCGGTCCTAGTGCTTTTTGATTTTCCCAGACAAAGTTTTACTGAATATTCTGAGTGGAAGAACCATTTCCAAAGAAGATATTTACGGATTGTGTGTTCACTAACAGCAACAGCAAAAGTGAGCAAAATTAAGTGACGGCGTTTCCACTTAATTTTGCTGTCAACGTAATTCAACTAAACAAGGGTAGGTATCGTTCCAATGCCAATGTATTTGTTGCTGCAGAACATGGTCAGAGTACTCATTATTACAACATAATGCACGCAAAAAAGATCACTTTAAATGCGCGAAGCATCTTAGCGAGCCACAATGAAACATTTGATATTGTTCCAGCTGGGATCTAAGACGCGTTTGATTCAGCGTTTCACCCAATTTTCAGTTTTCCTCACGATTTCCTCACTCCTGCTGGACTCCATATCTTCATAGTTTATTCTAACTTCTGGCGCTTCACCATCTTCATCCTCAGCTTTTTCAAACCCTAAATAAGGGGCAGTAGGGAATTTTATCTTTCATACTCAACGCCGCCCATTAATGAAAACACAAAAGATAATCACGGCGACGATAAATATGAACATAGTGTTAATAGAATATTAACACCTTATTAAGAATATAATATATAATACCAAATGAATATGATATTAATTGTTGCGCCGGTACGGCATGTGGTAAATCTCTTCCCAACCTTGGGCTGTGAAAATGCAGTTTTATTCACCTCGGTTTTTTGCTACGGACCTCGTGCCTACCGGCACTCGGTCCTCCGCACAAAAACCTCAGTGAATAAAACGCATTTTCCCAGCCCCGGTCGGGAATATATATTACTGGATTCACGTGGTGCCACTGCCCGAAAAGCTTCTAAATCTCCTTTGGACTCGCACAAGGATAAGAACACACGGCTGTACTGAAGCCAAGCGTAAACAGATAACTGCAAGTTTCCCAGCTCGCCTCTTACTTTACCTACAGTGACACTTCAGGAAGCACAGGGCGTCAACTGTATCGTCATTCATGACGAGAACGTACTTTTGTCACTATGTTACCTACAGTTGAAAACACTTTCAGATTCGACGCTCGTGGCGACGATGCCTTTGAGCCACTTGTAGGCCATGGTGGTGAGCGGCCCCTTCCCAGAAACAGGAAGGTTTTGTAGTTCCTTTTTAACTGCCTTTGAAAGTTGGGATCTTCCCACCAGTCCCGGTGCGCCAGGCGCACGACTTT